ACGAAAATGTAGGCATAAGCCTCAAAGGAATCGAGTCGCACGATGAGGAATTAAAAAGGGAAGTATTCCTAACAGTCTTATAGCCTCTCGAAGATAAGCACAGACGTCTCTGTACCGATCCGCAAGACTCTACTAGACTTGCTCATGACTCGTGAGACGTAAGTGAACCTAGTTCTCTGATACCATGTTGTCACGACCCAAAATAATAATAAAAAAGCCGTGATGGCGCCGGACACCACTGTCAGGCAAGCCAACCCTAATCAATTAACTTAATTACCTATTTTAGTATTTTTGAAATAAAAATTTCTTCAATGAAATTGTAAAGATAAAACTCATAGAGTTAATGATAAATATTTTTAGCAACTAAATTTCTAAATAATTCACAACCATTCCCAAAACGCGGTGTCACAAGTGCATAAGCATTTACTAGGGAATTAAAAATAAAATACAGCATATGTCCAGAATACAAATTAGACAAGAAAATATAATAACTCTGAAGGAGACTCTGTTAAATGCGGATCGTAATATAGAATGCAGCTCACCTATGTCCCCACAATTATTAACCATACCTCTGCGCCCACAAGGCCGCTATACATATATGTACCTGCACAATAAAATATGCAGCAAGTGCAGTATGAGTACCAAAAAAACGTGTACCCAGTAAGTATTAAGCCTAATCTCGAAGTGGTAGAGACGAGATAGTCGACTTTGACACTTACTATGGGTCAATAATAATAATTGGAATAAATTATAATAATTTAAATCAGCATGGTTCACAGAGTTAACAAAATTTTTATTCAATTAGCAGAAATAAGAAGAATCCTTCAAATGCAACAATTTTCCAATTTATTAATTAAATCATACAATTTCAATAAAACTTTCAATTTATCAAATAGCTTTACAAGCTGCAATTCAATTTCAATAAATTTTCAATTTATCAATTAGTCTCATTTACAGAAATAACAATAATTCCTTAATAAGCAGGAATAATAATTTATTAAATTCCAAAGATTTTCAATTTATCAATTAGTCTCATTTACAGAAATAACAATAATTCCTTAATAAGCAGGAATAATAATTTATTAAATTCCAAAGATTTTCAATTTATCAATTAGCTTCACAAGCTGCAATAAACTATTAAGGTATCGTGTGATTATTATTATTAAGCACGATTTCTGCCGAGCACGTACGGCTCGATCCAGAGTGTTGTGTACACTTCCGAGGGACGTGCGACACGATCCATAGATCCATCTATCCTGCCGAGGTGTTCGGCCCGCTCCACAAGAAAGGAGGACATTTTCTTATGTACCTCCGGAAGGAGAGTATATTTATTATTAGATAAATTCGGGAGGAAGAATAATTTCTTTTAACAATTAATTAATTTAAACAGAAAATCAAACATATGAGATTTCCATCCTTTCATATCTTTATCTAACAATTCACAATATATTCATACATATCAATTAATATTAATTAAACAAAGAATACAATTTACACAAGTAGTTCATGCTTTGAGTCCTAAACTGCCTGTACTTTAGCATTAATAGTAGCTACGCACGGACTCTCGTCACCTCGTGCGTACGTAGCCCCCGCAATTAGCAACAATTATTCAATTTAATTTCTATGGGATAATTTCCCCCTCACAAGATTAAACAAGAGACTTACCTCATCTTGCTCCAATTTAATCCACTAGAAGGCCTTTTCCACTATTATCCAACTCTATCTGGCTCGAATCTAACCAAAATAATACGATACAATCACTAAAAATTATTGGAATCAATTCTATAAGAAAATTCTACTTTTTCAATAAAAATTCCGAAATTAATTAAAAATTTGTCCGTGGAATCCACGTCTCGGAATCCGACAAAAATTACGAAATATGAACACCCGCTCAACCACGAGTCTACCCATACCAAAATCACTAAATTCCGATAAAACTTCGGCCCTCAAATCCTTAAATCTATCCAAGAGGGTTTGCAAACTTTTCCAACTCAATTCACCAATTAAATGATAAAAATAGTGATCGATTCAGGTAATTTAACAAATATTGAGTTAAAAATACTTACCCCATTATTTTCTCTGAAAATCTCCCAAAACTCGCCTAAATTCGAGCACCAAATCGTTAAAAATGGAAAATGGGATTCGTCCCATTTTCAGAACTTAAACTCTCTGCCCAGTGATTTCTTCTACGCGATCGCGAACTTCCTCACGCGATCGCGTAGCACAAATTTTACTGCCCAAACATTAACCCTACGCGATTGCATCAAGTCCCACGCGATCGTGAATGCACCGGGTTCCGACTCTACGCGATCGCACCCCTCTTCACGCGATCGTGTAGCACAACGCGTGGCCCAGCTTCCTCTCAAGTTTTCCCTTCGCGATCGCAAACACCGACACGCGATGGCGATACACACTGGCCAATCCTATGCGATCGCGGACGTGTCCACGCGATCGCAGTGATCAAATTTCCAGCTGCCCAAATTAACCCTACGCGATCGCAACCCCATTCACGCGATCGCGTTGAACAAATCCACCTCTACCTAAATTACTCTACGCGATCGCAGACAAACATACGCGATCGCGTATAAGGATACCAGAAGAAAATACCAGCAGTTATCAGCAGTGTTCCAAAGACCAAAAATGATCCGTTAGCTGTCCGAAACTCACTCGAGCTCCTCGGGACCTCGACCAATTATACCAACAAGTCCTAAAACATCATACGAACTTAGTCGAAACCTCAAATCACATTAAACAACGCGAAAACCACGAATCATCCTCCAATTCAAGTTTAATGAAACTTAAAATTTCCAACTTCTTCATTCGGTACCGAAACCTATCAAATCAAGTCCGATTGACCTCAAAATTTTGTACACAAGTCATAAATGACATAACAGAGCTATGAAAATTTTCAGAACTGGATTCCGACTCCGATATTAAAAAGTCAACTCCCCGGTCAAACTTCCAAACTTAAATTCCTATTTTTAGCCATTTCAAGCCTAATTTAACTACGGACTTCCAAATAAAATTTCGAACACGCTCCTAAGTCCAAAATCTCCATATGGAGTTGTTGGAATCGTCAAAATACTATTTCGGAGTCGTTTTCTCAAAATGTTGACCAAAGTTAAATTTATCACTTTAAGGCCAACTTAAGGAACCAAATGTTCCGGTTTCAACCCAAACACTTCCAAATCTCGAACCAATCATCCCCGCAAGTCATAAATCATTAAAAGCACATGCGAGAAGTTTTATTTAGGGGAATGGGATTCTAACAGTCAAAATGACCGGTTGGATCGTTACAACATTGATCGATTTTGGCAGTCGATTTCCCTTTTTTTTAGTAGTGAATTTATTAATATTTGATAATAATGTTAATAACGGATAGTATTCAGATAAATATTTTGAGTATTAAAAGTTAAAAATAATTGATTGGAGAAGATATATGAAGTTAAGTTGAGATAGTTGTAAAACAAAATAACTTCCATCCAATACTAAGGGAGGTCATTTTCCTCATTTCAGTGGAAAAATATTTTTTTACAACCAAATAATGAAAAAAAAATAACCTATTTTTCGGGAAAAAAATTTAGTTAGAAAATATTTCTATCATACCAAACATGTGGTTTGCTGTAAAAAGAATTTCAGAAAGAAAAAAAGGTTTTGCTTGGTCCTGTTTTCTCTTCAATATAGTACTCCACTACATTATAGTGTACTCATAATGGGCAGATAAATTAATGTTTGTCCATTTCTATAAGAATTAAATTATATTTATCAGATTGTTCAGCAACTTACCATATATCTTTACCAAGCTTTCAACATTCCATCTGTATGCAATTTCAAACAGATTATTTGTTTTACCAATAATAGTAAACTTATTTAATGGTTTCCTTCCTTTACAAGCAATATGAATGAATTGGTAACAATGTTGTGTTGGTCAACACAATATGTGGAAAAGCATTCCATACTTATTTTACAACTCATCACCTTTTGAATTTAAGATTGGAAACTCATGCACTCAAAATTTAAATTATTTCTTTCTTACCCAAATTAAGTAATTAAAGCTTGTTGACAATTATTTGCTATAAATATTACCCATAGGTTCTGCCACTCTTAGTACGTTCTTTCACCTCCTCAATGTGCGACGACATTATTATAATTTGTAACAAGAAAATGATATAAAAAACTAAAGAATTATAAACATTAGCATTGTGCCTTAGTAATTATTTAGAAATATATTTGATTCAGGATTTTGACTTGTATGAATGCTTTAGAATAGCAGAGTTCGTCAGAGTCGACATGCCTAACCGCCTCACCGATCATTCGGGAAGGCGGGACACTGTGAGATAGATAGTTTATCTAGGGTGGATGCTTACTAAAGAGTAATGAAGGTGTGCGAATGTAGGTTCAAGCTAAAATAAGCTTGTCTGATTGTGAGACCGACTGGTCGAACATATACGAAAGTCGGTCATAATGATCCGAGAATCCCGTGTAGAAGGGCTCTCGCTCAACTAATCAAAGTTACGCTAGGGATATAACAGATGGAGGACTCTCAAAAACTCTTTTTCGATGGAGTTATTTGGCACCTCGATGTCGACTCATCACACCTTTCAATAATATCTATTATTTCATGCTGCATACATGTGCACGTACGGGACAAAAATAACCAAACAAATACACAGGCAATTGAAAATCGAAATCCTTCCGAAATAGGAAAAGTAAAAGAAGGATCTTCCAAGGTTTAAAGAGATTAAAAAAAAACATGAAGTTTGAAACTTATAATAAAATAGAGCAAAATAGATCCATTCCCTTCTTTGCCAACAGTAAGCATAAAACCTAATAGAGGCAAAAAGAGGTTTTTAAAAAAGGAGGTGAAACATAGGCATACTAGCCATAAATTTTATAATATTTCATTCATAATTTGTCAATAAAATTATACAAATGTAGCATTCTCTTTTTCCTCACCAACACCTATTTTCCTTGGACCTCCTGTTGTATAACTTAACACTTCAACATATTTTCTCATTTGATGCATTCATATGTTGCGAGGCCAATGAAGATCCAACCGACTCTGATGAAGTAGTAGTTGAAGCGAACCGTTCAACTTCTTCTCTAGAGAACTCCATATCGCCTAATTCCAATCCATGGCAAAAAACAAAAGGAGGAAGCTGCACGCTTCTGTTCCGATGAGTCGACGTAGGAATTGAACTCTCAACAACAGGAGGAAGACGTTGCGGTGATGGCAATGCCGATATTTTTTTGGCAAGAATAGCATTAATGGAGGACTCAGCCTGCATTAAGAGCCATTCAATCGTGCAGCCAACCGTCTTATGACCAAGTTTTTCCGTTAGCGAAAAAACACGTTGAGCACATGACGTAGGAAGTCGAAATCGTCGATCCTTTCCATTAACCTTCAAATGGCGATCACGAGTTCTCGTGCTAGGAGGAGGAGGAGGAGGAGGGGCGACGTCCATAAAGGTTATGGCTTTAGGAGGAAATATTTAACGAAATGATCGCCTTATATAAAAAAACAGAGTAGAAACTCGTAGTTAGATTATTAAATATTGTATTAAACCCGTAGTTAGATTATTAAAATATTGTATTTATTTATATTTACGAAATCTACGTGAATAAACTTTGGATAGAGTACATAAATATATAGAAACTAGTTAATGATTTTTAGGTATATACTGTATTCTTTTTCAAAAATGATTATCAATTTATATATATATATATATATATATATATAATACAATTTAAAATTATGTACATATGTAGTATAAATTTAGGATTTTAATTCTATTTAAGCTATATATATATATATTCGATATAATACTACCTAATACACNTGACATATGAATTAAAATCTATCCGACTATCACTATTAGACTGTCAAGAAACACCATCGAAATTTCCGACGACGGTAAAACCCGTTGGTATTTCGACGGATTATTGATAGGGATTATTGATAGGGCAAAATATAAAATTGATCGGTCCATTGAAATTAATTGCATTCGCTAGCTATATATATATATTACATACTATCAATGCTCATATGCTATACATTGTAGTACATTCCTTTCACTGACATATGAATTAAAATCTATCCGACTATCACTATTAGACTGTCAAGAAACACCATCGAAATTTCCGACGACGGTAAAACCCGTTGGTATTTCGACGGATTATTGATAGGGATTATTGATAGGGCAAAATATAAAATTGATCGGTCCATTGAAATTAATTGCATTCGCTAGCTATATATATATATTACATACTATCAATGCTCATATGCTATACATTGTAGTACATTCCTTTCACTGACATATGANAACGGCTAAAAATAAATATTTCTCAAATATATATACTCCTTCTTAAGCTAATATCAAGGTTCTCGACGGCCCAATCACCAAAATATTTTTGAAAAACATTGGCCCAAGGTGCTAATGTTTGAGTAAAAATTACATGGGGCGTGCTATTTGGTCGCCTCTTTTTAACCTGTACCCGCTTTGTTTTTCTGTTTGCATCCGTACTCTTTTTTTTTTTTGGTTCAAAGCCTTTTAAAAAGACGATTTTTCCCTTCTTTATTAAAAGACTACTTTCTCTCCAAATATACGTCATTCTACTGTCTCTGTCTCTCTTCTCCCGTCCTTCGCGTTTTTTTATTTGTTTCTCTTTGAAATCAAATGGTTGTCGATTCTTCTTAATTTTTCAACTATTTGTTCCCCAATAATATTACATTTAATCACAGGTATATTGCATTAACTTTCTGGGTTTTATTTTAGTATTATTTTTACGATTTAATTTCTGGTTTTTTTTGTTTATAGTCATCTTAGTTGAATCGTTTCCCTTTTTTTTTATTTATGATAAAATAGTTTCCTAGGTTTTACTTTGATTAGTGCATTAGTTTTCTAGGTTTTACTTTTACGATTGTGTTTTTAGGTTTTTTGAACGTGTGTTTGTGTTTTTTGATGAAAATTCTATAAATTCTTCAGTGATTTTTGGATACTTTGATATTTTTAACAATTTTGAGAGTAAAATAGATGATTAAAGTGTGAAGTTTATAATACTTCAATGATAACTTAATTCTAGGAGCTGAAGTTTTGTTTTGTGTTTTGTGTTTTTGTTATATTATTTTATGAACTTCAGCATTATTTGGAGTTGAATTTGTGTTATGTATTTGTAACTTCAACATTTCTAGGAGCTGAAGTTTTGTTTTGTGTTTGCTAAACTTCGAGTTTTTGCTGAAGTTTTTATTTTGTAACTGTTAAACTTTAGCATTATAATCCTGAAGTTTTTGTTTTTGTGTTTGCTAAACTTAGAGTTTATGCTGAAGTTTTTATTTTGTAATTGGTGAACTTTCAGCATTCTAGGAGTTGAAATTTTATTTTGTATTTGCTGAACTTCAGCATTTAGAAGCTGAAATTTTTGTTTTATATTTGCTGAACTTCAGCCTTCTTAGACCTGAAGTTTTAACTGATTTTTTTGATAATGTTCTGACGTTATTTTTTCTATCTTTTATTTTTTTTGAACAGATGGCATCTAAGAATCCTAAAGCACCTAAAAATTCTAAAGCACCTAAAGCATGTAGAATACGCAAATCTCCTTCAGTCCCTATTTCTCTACCTACAAAACTAGGGGACAGATATTATGAGTTTGGATATTGGTTTAACTGTCGTGCTTACTGGAAGGGAAACAACGGATTGAAGCGTTATATTACAACTTTCTTGACTCCTACACAACATGAGAAGCTGAATAATGGTACATTTCGATATTGTGATGACCTAAAAGGTCATCTTATGTTTTAGAACTCGAATATGCGCTCTTAAGCCTTAAAAATCTCATTTTTATCCTACTCGATTTATATGCGCAGTCCGGGTATTGGCCCGGAAGGCTTATATGTTAAAACTAATAAAAATAAGAATTTTTGCCTTAAAAGTTAATTTTATTTGATTTCGCTCAATATTTTTGGTAAACGGGTCCGAATCCATATTTTGACGGTCCCGGTGGATCCGTATCAAATTACGGGACCTGGACGTATGCCCGGAATCTAATTCGGAGGTCCCTAACTTGAGTTATGAATTTTTGATGAAAATTAAAAGTCTGAAAATTAATTATTTTTAAGAATTGATTGGTGTTTGGAATCGTCAGTACCGGGTCCGTATTCTGGTTCCGGAGCCCGGTACAAGTTCATTATGATATTTAAGACTTGTCTGTGAAATTTGGTGAGAAACGGAGTTGATTTGACGTGATTCGGACGTGCAGTTGAGAAGATAGGAATTTTAAAGTGTTCTTGAGAATTTCATTTGATCTGGGGTCTACTTACTCCTATGTGTCATCCTATTTTGCTTCATATTTGGTTGTGCCCTGTGATTACTTGAGTGCCCCTATGTATGTGTCCACACCAGTGGGAGATGTTATTGTTGTAGATCGTGTTTATCGTTCGTGTTTGGTCACCATTGGGAGTCTTGAGACTCGTGTAGATCTCCTACTTCTCGACATGGTTGATTTTGATGTCATACTGGGTTTGGATTGGCAGTCACCTTATCATGCTATATTAGATTATCATGCCAAGATGGTGACCTTAGCCTTGTAGGGGTTGCCTCGATTAGAGTGTAGAGGGACTATTGGCCATTCTACCAACAGGGTTATCTCTTATGTGAAGGCTCGTCATATGGTCGAGAGGGGGTGTCTAGCTTATTTGGCTTATGTCCGCGATTCTAGTGTGGAGGTTCCTTCCATGGATTCAGTGCCGGTTGTTCGTGAGTTTCCAGAGGTGTTTCCTGCAGACCTGCTGGGAATACCACCCAACAGGGATATTGATTTCTATATTGACTTGGCTCCGGGCACTCAGCCCATTTCCATTTCGCCATACTGCATGGCCCCGCCAGAGTTGAAAGAATTGAAAGAACAGTTACATGATTTGCTTGATAAGGGCTTCATTAGACCTAGTGTCTCACCCTCGGGTGCACCTGTGTTGTTTGTAAAGAAGAAAGATGGATCGATAAGGATGTGTATAGATTATCGATGGTTGAACAAAGTCACCATCAAGAACAAGTATCCACTGCCGAGGATTGATGATTTATTTGATCAGCTTCAGGGTGCTAAGGTATTTTTGAAGATTGATTTGAGATCTGGTTACCATCAGTTGAGGATTAGGGCATCCGATGTTCCTAAGATAGCTTTTCGGACTCGGTATGGGCATTATGAGTTTCTAGTGATGTCATTTGGGCTGACCAATGCCCCAGCATAATTCATGGATTTGATGAACTGAGTGTTCAAGCGCTACTTGGATTCCTTTGTGATTGTGTTTATTGATGATATCTTAGTTTACTCGCACAGCCGAGAGGAGCATGAGCAGCACCTTCGGATCGTTCTTCAGACTCTGAGAGACAGTCAGTTATATGCTAAGTTCTCAAAATGTGAGTTTTGATTAAGTTCACTTGCTTTCTTGGGTCACGTTGTATCAGCAGAGGGTATTCAAGTGGATCCTAAGAAGATTGAGGCAGTTCAAAACTGGCCTAGACCCACATCAGCTATAGAGATCCGTAGTTTCTTGGGATTGGCAGGTTATTACCATCAGTTTATGGAGGGGTTTTCATCAATAGCAGTTCTGTTGACCAGGTTGACCCAGAAGGGTGCCCCATTCAGGTGGTCATATGAGTGTGAGGCGAGCTTCTAGAAGCTCAAGACAGCTTTGACTACGACACCGATATTGGTGTTACCCACAGGTTAAGGATCTTATACAGTATATTGTGATGCATCCTGTATTGGTCTGGGTGCGGTATTGATACAGGGTGGCAAGGTTATTGCGTATGCTTTATGGCAGTTGAAGGTTCACGAGAAGAATTACCCTGTTCATGATCTAGAGCTGGCAACCATTGTTCATGTGCTGAAGATTTGGAGGCACTATCTTTATGGCGTACCATGTGAGGTATTCACAGATCATCGGAGCTTGCAGTATTTGTTCAAGAAGAAAGAACTCAATTTGAGGCAGAGAAGGTGGTTGGAGCTATTAAAAGACTATGATATGACCATATTGTATCATCCCGGGAAGGCCAATGTGGTGGCCGATGCTTTGAGTAGAAAAATAGCTAATATGGGTAGCCTTGCATATATTCTAGTTGGTGAGAGACCGCTTGCATTGGATGTTCAGGCCTTGGCCAACCAGTTCGTGAGGTTGGATGTTTCTGAGCCCAGCCGTGTTCTAGCTTGCACAGTTGCTCGGTCTTCTTTGTTTGAGCGCATCAGAGATCGACAGGATGAGATCCTCATTTGCTTGTCCTTAGAGACACAGTGCAGCACGGTGGTTCCAAGTAGGTTACTGTTAGAGATGATGGAGTTTTGAGGATGCAAGGTCGTGTTTGTGTGCCTAATGTGGATGAACTTCGTGAGCTGATTCTTGAGGAGGCCCACAGTTCCCGGTATTCTATTCATCCGGGTGCCACCAAGATGTATCAGGACTTGCGACAAC